GGTAGCCGAGCGGTCTAAGGCATGTACTGTCTTCGCTCACTTGGAAACCGGGATCGTGGGTTCGAATCCCACTCAGGGCATGGATGTTTAGTTTGTGTGTGTGCGTTTTCCTGTGTTTGTGTACAGGTAGAAGCCTTGCGACGAGCTGATCACCCGCCCGAGGAGTCCCACCGAATGTGTAAGATTTAGAAAAACCAAAGTGAACGGAGTTCATGGAGGTAGGCCTAGGCCCACTGGGGCTGTAGTGCCAAGGAAATGAAAATACGAGTATTTATCACCTGTTAAGCTGTATTTGTTAATTTCTTTACCTTCCAATAATTAAGGACACTTCGCTCCACAGTGTACACCCAGTCTCCTATCCAAAGCGTACCTGGACATTTTCTTCCGAGGGTAAAGCGGAAGGGACGTGAGGCTGACCACTCATATCCGTCTAATGCCACGTAAGGCAAAATTCGTGGAGCTATATTTCCATTCCACTTACGTCTTCATGGCGTGATGCTTGCTTAAGCACAGGGACAACTATGATTTTTTTCCTTTCTTGAGACACTTTCAGTATCTTGGGTCCTACAGAGTCGAACGGCAGGAAGATACGAACATCAATGACTGATTGGAAGGGATTTAGAAGAAAGCGGTCTTGGCTTATCTGATGTATTATCCCGGCTATTTCATGGACGGACACAAGAAAACCACGAATACCTTAGCCACGTTTGACCGCTATCCCCCCGAGATACGAATCGTGCATCTTTCGGATAAAATCATAGAGCGGTACCTCTATACCAACAAAGGCATTCGTCACAAATTCACGGACTGAATTAACTGAAGTTCAGTCGCCCTTATAAGGACATATAACGACCCGCCCTTTTATTGTTTCAGATATATTTTCATGGCAAGGATTACAAATCCCTTTTGGGCCACATTGACGGAAAGTACTTACCGAAGAAGTACGGAGGGACGATGGATATAACACCCTTCAACAGAATGGAGTTCTATGAACTCTTGTACAAATATCAGGACGCTTTCGAAGGTGAGTCCTTGCCCAGAGTTCAGCCTCCCTCAGGTGTTACATGGGAGATTTTCTAATTTTTCACCAGCAGTTCTTGTTGGTTTATAGTAGAGCAAAGTCCCTCGCTTCTGCGAAATCAGTATCAATGGGTCCCTAATGATGACAATGATGGGGATGTGTATGGAGCTTCAGTGGGTCCATGATGATGATGTGAATGCCTATGGATCTTTCGTGGAATGATTAGTCAGAAACTGTTGCATTGGTACTTTCTTTAACTTTGGATCGAATCCGGGCCCCCGGCATGAGACAGCTGCGGCTAACAGTCTGACAGCCTTCTTTGTTACCTTAAGTTTCCCTGCTTTATAGAGAACAAGTACCCGTTCAAAACACGGGGTATAGGTAGTTTCCTTATCAGGATAACTAACACTCATATAAATAAATTAAAGTATTTGAGGTTCTCGTAGCGATGTTTATAAAGAGATCTAAAGTCTGGGATATAAAAGCATGCAACTTTCACGGACTTCATGGCGTTATACGAGCATCTAGAAGACAGAACACTTCTTAAATAATTATACTTTACTCCCATAATTAGAATTGGGAATGATATCCGAAATGCATCCAAAAATTCTACCGCAATTCTGACTTAGACCTTACCGTTTAAAATGTTCACCTTCGAAGCAAACACGTAAGACTACAGTTGCAGTCTGTGTCTCTGATGTTCTCTATTACTGTAATTCGGCGTATAAAGCAGGAAAGAGAAAGACAAAAGAGCACCTCTCATATCACAAGGACGAGTGGGCGAAGCATTGGAACCTTCTAAACAACACTCTATCCCCTCCCAAAATAAGGTGTCTCTCAAGTCTCCCACATTTTATGGTCTCACGTACTCTTCTACTATTCTTTATTTCTAATCTCCCTCCTTCAGGTTTCAGAAGATTAATTGCTTTTACCAACGAGTTCTGTCTACTCGTCACATAACCCTGGGAAGGGGCCCTCACTTGTTTCCCGAAATGATATAGGTCCTCTGAAAACTTCTACCATACTTTCTACATATTATAGTCCTGTTATCCGATTACAATCAGAGAAAGCTGTTATATAATAACATATTCCGCTTTTTGTTGTCTTTTACAGAGACCAACAAGTATGGTTATTACAAGAAAAAGTCTTAAACAAGAAGAGCGCTTAGGGGTCAGGCAACTTGAAACTGGCCAAACGCACAGAAGTCAGAATATGTCTCTAAAAAGAGCAAACTTCAGAGTTTAATAATATTTTTAAGTGGGTCATCATCTACAAAATTTCTCATATCGTACACTCGAAATGATTTAACGAACAATTGAATTTCCAAAGCGAAATTTGCGTTATCCCAACATTTGTTGTTCAAATGAGCATATAGCATTGGAGAACTGTGTGTTAAACAGATAATCAGACTTTCAACAATATCTTAACCAATTGCTACGTGCCAACAGTGTAACAATAGAACCAAACGTTCAACTCCGCAAATAATACAGACCATCATTGTATACTATCTTTAATCATTCACATTCACATCTGATCTTCGAATCATATCTCCTTATTCTCCGCCTCTTGTTTTCATTTTCGAATTCTGCGTTTATCAAGAGGTTACACTACCGCAGTCCTGGACATACTCTTGTTCCCCCATCCTAACCTTACGCCTACCCGATCACAGCTTATTAGAATGCAATATGTGCCTGAATCCAAGTTTCTTTTCATGAAATATTCGCAAGTACTAGCTTTCTTCATTCTTCGTATGTACAAACATACGAGTATTTCCCTGCTCACTTCGTTTTCTGGCACTTATGATTTATGTTCTATACTTTCACAGAGTAAAAAGCATCGTTCATACCCATATACGAGTATAACAAACCACCAAAACTACTGCTTAAGATATTTTTATCCTAATCTCCATCGTTTTGGAATACAGATGTTATAATACAGGATGTTTAATCATCGAGGAAACCGGGGAAGTAGCGTGAGTCGCATACAATATTTCTCACAGATTTCTGCTGTAACTGCCGATCGCGGAACGAGTCATAAACGCGAGCACTCGCTAGAGTAGAGCGGATGGATCGTTTCTCCACGACCGTTCCCTCACATCAGTTTCCGTACATGCACACATTTATTAGAATGCCGCAAAAAGATAACACAAACTTACCGTGCTTTATAACAGGTGCTGAAAGTGACCCCCTTCTGCTTGCAAACATGCCTTGCATCCCAAGTTGATCCACGGTAACTGAACTAATTACGCGTCTTATTTCATTTTGTTATTTTATACGGGCGAAATTTGATTAATTTTGTGGCTGTGAAAGCAGATCCTAGCGAAACACTGGTTTTCTGTGTTAAGCGTCTTAATGATTTTCGAGGACTACAGATTTGTAGTCGTGCCACAATATCCCGAACTTTTTCTTCAGTTAGCACAATCCTCTTCGAGTGCTTCTTTATGTTACACACCGAACCTGTGGCCCGCCACTTTTTCACAAGCTTGGATACACACGACTTTGTGGGAACTGGCGCGTTAGGATATTTACGATTAAACTTACCGATACTTTTAAGTTTCTTTACATTGAAAATTTTTGACAATAAACACACTCTGTTCAACAGTGAACTTCATTTCAGTATAAATGCTGACCTCCTATCCAAATCTCTAACACAGACTGACAGTTACTGCGACTTAATTGTAGTGACAGGATCACGCACGACCGTGCGCGTTTATCAGCGCTAATGAATCATTCTGCTATCGGGAGTTACAGCAGCAATCTGCGAGGAATTTTGGGTGCGGTCAGCGGCGTAGCGAAGTTTCCTCAGTCCTTGAACGCAGTGTACTATTTGAACTGAAGAATGACAAGCATTTCCAGAATTTACGTTTCTTTAATTTTATCATAATCCTGTTTCTGTTTGTGTTGTTTCTTACATTTTGAAAACATCCTCCACAGATTCATTATCAAGAACTAAAATTACTACAACTAAATTGAGGAAAGCAATAACAACAATAAAGTAAAAATCTTAACTCCCCAAACAACACTAAATAATTTAAAGATAGAAGAACACGTCCATTCCAAGTAAAATATATTAACATAGCAGTTTCTTTAATAATTTAATTTCTTCCAATGTAAATTTACAGACTGAAATTGGTTTTAAGCCTGCTATTTATAAAATATACGCTGGATCTGTGTCTACTGCTTGGCATAGTCCTAAATTAATGCAATTCCTTCACGTCTTAGCAAGGCTACGTAAAAGCTACAACATTTTTTTAACTCTTAATGTGTGAAGCATGTTCAGGGAAGGCCAAGCAAAACTGGACACAAATTGTACTGAATTATGTTGAGTAACACGCAACACCTTGTACATGAATATTATGTTTATATGAGATAAATGTAATGTAAAACTCTTAAAATGCTCTAACCTTAGAAAGTGAGGTCTCGTTTTTAAATATATTGTTCATAGAAATTTGTACGACCTTTTTATGTGAACGTTTTATAAATATGAATATAGAGCAAAATAAAATAAATAAAATAATCTATAACATGAAGTTTGTCGTATTAAGAACATCGTGGATCTTACTTACTTATGTAGCTGAGCCCTTCTTTAGGAGAAGCCAAATGTGCAGCTACTCAAGAATTTCCCAGCATTTTATGAAACCCAAAGGTTAATTACCGTGTTCACAACAGCCCTCCACTGGTCCCTATCCTGAACTAGATCAATCCAATCCATGCCATCCCATCTCTCTAAGATCCATTTTAATATTGTCCACCCACCTACGCCTTGGTCTTCCCAGTGGCCTCTTTCCTTCTGACTTTCCCACCAATATCCTAAGTGCATTCCGCTTCTCCCCCATTCGTGCTACATGCCCCGCCCACCTCATCCATATCATTGATCTAATTTTCGAGAAAGAAACTACGAAGAATGCCGTCTTCTGGGATGTGGCGCTGTGTAAACCGATGTTTCGGAGGAACGTATCGCCTCCATCTTCAAAACACGGCATTCTTCACAGTCACCGCCGTGAAAACCTAAAATCTTATAAGAAACTACAAGACTACAGACGATATCTGGAAGAGCTGTATCCCATCACATTTTAGTTAAAGCAGCCAGTGCTACTGCTCACAGATGAAGACACGGTCTTCTTGAGAAACCAGATTCTGAATTCTCACGGCAGTGAATATTAATTTTACTGTGTTCTAGGAAGTGGTATAGTGCGGTAAGTGGATACCAACGATTCTGACAAATCTGCTGCCTCCATCTTCAGTATAAACGAGTGGTTTCACTCTAGCGCTTCATCTATCAGCTTACACTGCGTTACATCCTACATGTCTTAACTAGAAAACAAGAACCCCGCTTTTCAATGACTGAAATTCCATTAACATATTGAAAATGGTCCGTCACTGAAAGCTGTCCTGTCCCACTTAATCCAGTCTATTTCGTCACACTCTACTTTTTTAACATTCTTTTTAATTGTAACTGAGCGCCCCTTTCTTTGTCGTATTCGTATACATATACGTATATCTAATATAATTTGATTACTTTTTTATATTAATATTGTATCGTAATTAATCAGTACTCTAGCAAGTACATGTCAAGATAGAACCTACGTAGGCCGCGCCTTAGCTCAAGCGGTTAGGGGCCCCATACACACACAGTTTGGCCTCCAGTTCGGCCTGCACAGTTGAAAACTGAAAGGCAAAACTGACGTGAGTGGTGCCGCCGGCCGGCCAATCGTTTGGACTGTTGGCCTGTGGGAGACCCGTCAGTCCGTCAGGTCTGCCTGCAGGACCGTAGCACGTGACGTGTGCGACTCAACATTATAGGCTGGAAGACCGTGATTGTGGCATGATGCCTGCCGCTTTATCTGCGCGTGTATGGGGGGGAAAGGGAGGGGGTAAACTGTCACAGTTTTGCCTGTAAGGTCGATCGGAAGGCCAAACTGTGTGTGTATGGGGGGCCTTAGTCGCTAGCTTCCCACCGCGGCGCCCCCGGTTCGA